ATCATATAGTCACAGAGAGCCCCTGGGGCCCCGCGCCTGCGGGTCTGCTGCCAGTCGTTGGCGAGAAGAGAGGAGATGCGCGCCCTGAGGACTTCAGCGTTTTTTTTGTGGTGAATTCCTTTTTTATGTGCTGGAAATAACTCACAACAGCTGAGACAACGCAGGAAAACGCATTAAAAGGGGGGGGAAGCTCCGTGCTCTTCTCAGGCGGCGAACTACCGCTGGTGGCTGGTGGCCGTCGCGTAGCCGCTCTGGCTTCCTGTGTATTGTTTTTGCAGCTTTAGCTTTAAAGAGTTGATTTGGTTGGCTTGAGTTATTGGTCCTGCTTAAACTCTTCGGTACGGCTGCTCTGATGCGCCTCTGCTTGAGCCTTTGCCACGACAGGCGCATTTGAAGGACTACCCTTGGCCTTCCTTGCAAATGTCCTTCGGCTTTTATAGGCAGAACGCTCGGCACATATACTGCCAGAAGCGAACGACAAGCGGCAACGGCAGCAACTGCGACAGTAGGGACAGCAGCAACAACAAGCCACAGCTTCTGTAAGGGGTTAGCTTTTTGCAGTATATCGGTGGGTTGACGCACCTGGGCAAGAAATCTTTGATTCTTGCGCATATTTTTTGGCGTTACAAGGAGAATATAGCTGGAGGACAGCACCTCTGGTGGCTGATGAGCTGCTTCTGTGCTCCTGGCCTTTGACCTGTAGGTTTGTACAAGGGGAAATTTATAAAATGGAGGAGAAGGCAGCGCAGACAGGTGAGGGAGGGATGCGACGTTTGTAGGTTTTTATGTTTTGCTCTTTCCGTGTGAGTGCTTCACTGTACATTTTCCCTGTATATATGCACTGTCGCATGCTCACGGCCGTTGCCTTGTGCACTGCAACTAGTGCATCATTGCAGTAATACAGGGTACGCCCAAACGTAGATTGTTAGCACCAGCAGGACGTCATCGACTTGCAGAGGAGAGAAAAGCTTTCCTCCATTTTTTTTCCTTGCGTGTCTGTAGAGGGGCTCGAAGGCCTCAAGAGAGTACGCAGCGAAGGTTGCGTTCTGCGGAGGCAGCAACTTGTGCGAAATTCTCCCCTTCCCATCACCTCCTGTTACACCGTATGCCATCATCCCCCTCGAACCCCTATCCGAAGAGATTATCTTCTCTCGCATACTTCTCATTGCTTTGTTTTCTGTCTTTCTTTCGCGCCGTCTGTCTCCATCTCTATCCTCTTGGCCCCATGCCTGCTGTTCTGCACCTCCCAGCATTTGCCGTAACGTGCATGCATTCTGGGATGACCGTATGCTCTGAAGGTGAGCAGGCGAACAGCAGCAGTAGCGGCAGCATACGACTGCTCTATCGTTTTGCTTGTTTGCTTCAGCTGGATGAAGTGATAGGCTTGGGCTCTTTTTCTTGCCGGGTATACCGGGCAACCGACATTTTGTCGGGTGTACGCCGAGTTGTGAAGCGCGTTAGCAGAGATCAGCCGGAAGGCGTTCGTCTTTTTCGAAACGAAATTACTTTTTTAAGAAAAGCCCATCACCCAAACATTGTCCGACTCTTTGAGGTATTCGAGGACCCTGCAGCCGTATACCATGTGAGGAGACAGATGATTTTATTCTCTTCACCTCTTGGTTTCTGTTTCTCTCGTTTTCTTCTTCTGTCGTCTTTTCGCTCCCCGCTTCCTTCTTTCCTCCCTCTCCGGGCTTCTTCTTGCCACCTCTTTTTCCCCCCCTCTCCTGCATGCCTCTGTCTTCCCCTCTTTCCTTCCATCCTCTGCTTCCGGCTGTCTCTTCTGTCTTCTTCCCTTGCCTTCTGTTTGCCTCTCATCTTTTATGCTTGGCGTGTTTCTCTTTAACTCCTCTCTCGGTTCTTCAATTCATTGCTTTGTTGTCTATGTGGCGTTTTTTCGGCTGTGGTTGGCCTTGCCTCGGCACACTCTCATGTCCTATCAACTGTCCTGTTTTTGTGAGCATCATTACTTCTAAACATATATCTTCCCCCATATCGCATTATCGCTGTTTCTTGCTGTTTAGTCCTGTTTGCTGCATTCTGTTTGGTGCTGCTTATTCTTCTGTCGTTGATAATCATTCCCTTTATCCTTTCTCGTTCGCGTCCGTTCCTGCCACTCTCGATGTATGCATTGCAGCTCTGCGTGGTTTATTCTGTTTTTGTCTGTTGGGCGTGCTTCTGTTCCTCTGTCTGTGCCCTTTTGTCTCTGCGATCTTTCATCTTCGTCCTTTCTCGGTAGTTGCCATCTTCCCGCGTTTTGCTGACAAGCAGCATCGAGTTGGCGTGTACGTACAGGTGACGGAGACGTGTTACGGCGGCGATCTTCACCAGTGGGTGGACAGGCGCCTGAGGAGGAGGCAGAGACACGCCAGAAGGCGCACTGTAAGCTTCTGTTCCATGGACGACAGCAATACGGCGCAACTCCAGCAACAGGAACAGCAGGAGCAGCAGCAACAAGCCATTGATCCTGGCTTGGCCCAGCCGTCCTCGGCACCAACAGCTGCAACAGCAACGGCAGCAACAACGCCAAATTCAATGGCAGGAGACAGCAGCCGTCCGCTCTCGCCTGTTGCTTCTGTTGGCAGTGGGAGAGCAGGCAGCAGCATGCGAATCTCGTGTCCAGTTGCAGCTGGTGCAGCAGCTGCAGCAGCAACAGCAGCAGCAGCAGCATCCGGACTGGCTGCATCCTCCTCGCCGTTATCTTCGTCTCCAACAGCAGCAGGAGCAGCAGGAGCAGCAG